ATAATAATAATACAGCAGGACGATTATCTTATGCTTTCAATTAATATCCGATATATTTCCCTGGAAACTCTTACTAATGTATAGTTTGTACGCCTACTCTTGGTGTGACGTCATTTCGCTTTTTTTGACTGTGATAAAATAATAAATGTCCTCGGCGCAAAGATAGATGGCTGGCTATAAACTATAAAACAAAACAAAAATTAATTGAAGACAATCATTAATCCAGTTCGAAATGATGATAATGATAATGTACTTGTGTATGTGAATGTTATTTTCAACAGACGGAGAGAGAGACAGATAGAGAGAGAGAGAGAGAGAGAGACAGACAGACAGACAGACAGACAGACAGACAGACAGACAGACAGGCAGACAGACAGACAGACAGACTTACAGACAGCAGACAGAGAAAGAGGGAAGATACTAAGATAGAGAAAGAGAAAGCACCCCAAGCCCATCGACACCATACCAACCTATGGTGAAGATGACTTTTATTTGAATCACCAATGGCTGTTCTGAAAACCGATTTTTTTTCTTTTTTAGTTTGCAAAGATCTTCATCTGGATGTTAAATGTGACGCTCGTCCCACTTAGATGACCTGTCAAACAACTCTAATGCAGTGTTGAACCTGGCGTATATCTGTACAATTGTACCCTTCTTTACTTTCTATTCCATAACAATTAATTCATTTTTTTTCTTTTCTGTTGCAGTTAAATCTTGGCTGGAATAGTCCGCTGTATTGTGACGAAGACGACCGTTGGAGTACAATAAGAGTAATCAGAGTGTGTTCTTCGAAGTTTCAAAAAACTCTTTGGATTTTACCACCCCTTGGCGCTCATATGACCTTATGCAGTTGCGACCAGCGCCGTAAAACCTCTACTAAAGCACTGACCTGAGAGTTCACACCATCAAGTCTTGAAAGAATATTTCAAAACACTACGGTGAGAGTGTTCATAAACACATTCTTCAAACAGAAAGCCAAGCGTAAGATCTCCATAACCCATGTGGAACAGAGAACACAGCGAGAGGTTTCAATAGCCCGTGTTGTGAACACACTTTGATATCCAACGTCTTCGGGCACAGCAGTAAGAGAGAAGTTATCGCCATCTACGATGTTTGGTGTTCAATTCCTGCGAACACACGTGTGCGTGTTGACAACGCTCACTTTAGTCATACCTTGTGTGTTTTCTCACTCTATGAACCCTGTCCCATTCGGATGGGAAGATATGTGTGACGTCACCTACGACTCTCGCGTCTTGGGAGGTTTTATCGACAATGTCACTTCCGCAGGCCAGGTCACACATATGCACTGCCTGGTGTCCATTGACAGCACAAGAAAGTGGCAGTTTCAAGAACTAAGATCACGGCTGCATCAAATTCATATGAAAAATAGCTCAGTTTTTCTTTCTGTGGAGTGTAGGGCTGGAGGGAGTTTATCCCTACCCTGGCCCATGAAAGCACGCGGGCTCGTGGGGCTTGTAATTTCAGGTTGTCAGTTGACAGATAGATATGCAGACTTTGGAAACACCCAAATTTCGGGTATTTCAGAAAATCTGCGCGTGTTACAGATAGAGGACTCGATATGGATAAGAGACGATTCTGCATTTGAGAGGATCACAAGTCCTGAAGGTCTTGCTAGTCTCACATCGGACTATGACTGTGGTCAAGACAGTACTATTGAGTACATGGTTATCAGAAATGTGACTGATAGTGTCTCAAGTCTAGATGCCTTTGCGACAGAAAATTCACCTCTCGGAGACTTATCAACTGGAGCTGGGTCCCTAACAGATGAGGAGCTTTTAAAAATGTTTCAGCTCGATAACAACTCATCTGACTTGTCCAGTGATCTATCTGAACTAATTCTTGACCATCCCAGAACTGAAGTCACGGATCAAAAGAGAAATCAGAAGATAAATGCATCATTTTCACTTACACCACATGTCAACAAAGGTGATGGTGAAAAAGGGTACTTGGACTTGTTAAACCAAGTTATGTCATTAGACATTGGGTGTCATTATGAAAATCTCCGTGTTTTAGACGAGAGTATGTCCCATGCACTTCCAGTACATCACTTCAACGTTTTGCTACAAAATGCGGTGTACCCAAAACTAGAGATTCTCAATTACTCGAGATCTGGAATCCGAGAGATATCCGAAGAGCTCCATGCTTTCAGGACAAATTTTCCAAAACTGAAATATTTAGACCTGTCTCTTAATTACATCTCAGAAGTAAACCTTTCCCCTTCGAATAACTCCAATGACCGGGATGTTCTCATTCTCGACGTTAGAGACAATGCAATCACCTCTTTGACCCTCTCTGTTGTACAGGATTGGGCACAAGTGACTGATGTGTTTGTAGATATCCGTGGTAACCCTGTGGTTTGTGACTCGGGCGTGGCTGAGTTAGCTCAAAGACTTCACGTGACAGCTTCTGGTACAGAAAACTTGGCCCGCTACTCTTACATTCTGGATCTAACTTGTTCTGGACCTGATCACTTATCGGGAAAATCGGTAGCTGACTTTTACACCTCACAAGATAAAGACAACGGCTTGAATACCGTGACAATTGGTATTATTTGTGGCTGTGTCGTTCTGATGGTGATTATCGTAGTGTTGGTGATTCTTTTTTTGATGAGGGCTCGAAGGGGTTCAAATCTCTCCCAGATGGATAGAGACTCTAGCTATAAGAAAAGCAGCAGCCACGTGTCCGAGAAAGGAGATATTGGTGGTTACCCTTAGCTAAATCCTAAAATAAGACACAATGAATCCACAGTCAGTTTTGAGTAGTTCCAGACCTGAAGTCCTTTGAGATTTCAAAGGGTCAATTGATAGCTGTTTGAGTAGTGTGGAGTTTGAACCGCCTGAATTGTCGCAGAGCGTCCTCGGGAGAATTCTATTGTGACAGGCAACATCTGCGCTCGCTCTCCTCGACCTTGATGTCTTTTGGGCATGCGGCATAACGGGTTCAAGCTTCTCGCAAAATACCAAGACGAGAGTTTGGCTGTTAATTTGTTTTAACATTGCAAAATGTTTTGGTAGAATGTATAGTACTGTATTGATGAGTGACTGATTGGAATGTTGATTTGTGAGGCAGCGTGGTGGAATCAGGCTCTCGTCAATTTTTGGGCATGTAGAGTTATTGTTATCATCTTAAGCTCATTCACTTGTCTTTATTTGGTTAAAAAAATATACATTTACCTTGAATACAAGCCGAGATATTTGCGAAAGAAGGGGGTGGGGGTCACCTGTTTTCAGAGGTAAAATTAGTGAGAAAATGGCCGCCAAAGATTAGTTATTTCCTTAGCTTAAGAGTCCGTGGTAACTGAAAATTTACATTTTTGTACCTTTCATCAACGCTTTTCAGAAAAATCCACATAGAAATGAGTTTTCAAATTGGCATGAAAGGCGTTTAGCCAAAAAACAAAAATGTGATAAAAATTCACAAACATGCGGAAAAATGCAAGTTTCTTCACTTTGATTATTTTGACGAGAGCCTGATTCCACCACGCTGCCTCACGTATAATGTAGTGCATCTTAAGTTGAGAGAACACGACATAGTTTACGCTATAATAAGAAGAGTGTGTTATGAAATAGAATACGTAAAAAACAACACAACAACAACAACACAAAGACACATGGATCACTTCACATTGAGAAAATTGAATGTTCTGACAAATTATAGTAGAGGGAGGGCGTCAATTCTTGGGACAGTGCGTCTTCTTAGACGCCATAGTGAACAAGTGAGGCTTCCGTTCACAAGGAGTGCTCACTCATCCCACAACGACTTGACAATCGATTCTTATGAGTCCGTTCATCCAACAGGGTCCCAGCTAGTATAATAATATGCATGGTATAGTAAACATGATTATGAGAGACAAGCCATTAGACATTACTCACTAAATAACTGAAGATAAAACAAAAACAAAGCAGACGCCAGAGAAGGATGGGAATCAGAGAGTGGGCCATAAGACCATCACACGACCCGCCTTCATGATAGTATAGCAGTTCTGATTCTGAGCGTAGCTTTTCTGATAGCTTCCATGAAAGCAAATTATTCTTTCTACGCCATTCCGCTTGCGTCGGTAACACGAGTTTGTTCTTGTTCAGATAGCCCAGATAACATGTCCTGATACCATCTATTATCTTGAGAATCATCTCTTTTCAGGAATCTACCCATAAAAATACATTTTTCTCTAATTAAAGTACTTAGGTTATAGGTCCTCTGAGGTCCTTTGGTAAGGAAGGAGTTCCTAATGTTACGGCGTTTGGGTTTTTTCTTCAACTGAAAGCCAGTTCTTCTTTTTTCTTCAACTCTAGTTTTGCGGTGGGTTGGGTTTTTTTTGGGTGGG